CTGAGGATGAGTTCACCCCTTGCTCTAAATCACCCCACATTACCTCAGAAGAGCAAGAAACAAGAACAAGTGAAGCTCATTGAAACCCACAGCCTTAGCAGAAACAGAGAGCAGAATATACCCAAATCTCAAATTCAGTTGAAAGTTGAAAATGCAGCATCAAGTCTTAGGGGTCTCCCAGGCTCCCCCCACAAGCCTCAGCTGGGTGTAAGGCCTGATAACCTAGAACTGCAGAAGTGAGGAGAGAGGACCTAGGGGTGAGGTACAGCCTGGGCTAACCTCATCTCCAGAAAGAGACCACCCACCCAGCACATCAGAGAGTAACCAGGAGGGTTCAGGATGTGGAATTCTAGGTGGAAATGCTCAAAAACCACAGCTTCTGGGCAAGAAAAAAGGAAGAGTAATAAAAAAGCATAATTAATTATATTAATTTGCATATTTTAAAACATGCAAATAAGAGAAGCCAGATTTCTAACTGTCCAAGCATGCAAAAGGGAACGGCCTACATGAGCTGAAGGGTATGTGCCGTAATTAGAGACCTCATGTTTTTTTCTATAGGCAGATAGAAGGGAATAGAAAATGGCATGTGGGCTGAATGTGTGAATACCTGATTCTCCTAGCTCTTTATTCTGGAAGAGCCTAGAAGCAGCCAGCCCTAGGAACAACAAACACTCCAGGTACTCACATATCAATTTCTACACTCTTTCTCCACTAAAAGAAGTCCGAGTTCTTTGGAGAAACGGCTGGCCCCAGAGCTGGAGAACTATGAATGTGGAATAGTTCTCAGCAGCTTTTGCTCACCTGGGAGTGAGGGAGTATTTAAGAACGGTAGGAGGGGCATGTCAAAATAACACAGGTGCAGAGTAAAGAAGGTGCCTCTGGCCAGATGTGGAATGATCTGAGCAAAAATAATGACACAATAGACTACAACAGACATTGCCGTGATGGGAAGGTCCTATCCTGCAGTAAAGCGCATCAGTGAACCTGGAAAGAGCAAAGAGAAGTTAGAACAGTATCACGTGGCAACCTTCACAATGATAAACTGGGTGCTATACATCATTGAAGGATCCTAAAACCAGTGAGTGAATTTTGTTGAAAAATAGATGTTTAGGTAAAAGTTCCCATACTAGCTCACCACAAGACACTAAACCTTTGTAGAAAGAAAAATGGTGGTTTTATATAGAAAACCCTGGTAGATGTGTGATGAAGTGTATCCTAGTAACGGGACAGACTGCCACGGGCAGAAAGACTCAGAAGAACACAGTGCGAAAACTCAATAATCCAGTCACAAGGAAACAAACCTCAGAGCGTCCCAAACTGACAGCCATTCCATCAAGTTACACCAGGGTCAGAAAAGCAAAGAAGTCCTGAGAAGTTATGGCAGAGAAAAGAATACTAAAGATAACAGTGACTCCCATCATTACTGGGGCAACTGGCAAATCTGAATACGATCTGTATGTAGATTAGGGTTTCATGGGTGTTCATGACCTGCTTTCAGGCATTATTCTGTGGTTATGGACAACAAATGTGTCTTGAGGAAATACACACTGGCACACGTAGGGATAAAGACGCATCTGCAAATCATTTTCAAATGGTGCAAGAAATAGAGGCAGAGGGGGAGAGATGGAGGGAGACAGAGGGGGATGGAGGGAGATGGAGAGAATGAATTCTCACAATTGGAACGCACATGGGGAAGGACACAGGGGTCTTTGTCCTAGTCTTTCAACTTAGCTATAAAACTCAAATGACTGCAGAATTTAAGAAGCTTTGAATGAAGGGAAGTGGAAAAATCCTCATGTGGCGAGTGAAGAAACTAGAGATGAGCTTGAGTTCTGTTGGAGGTTGCGCAGGTAAGAGGCAGGCAAGCAAGGAGGAGAGTGTGACTCTGCCCCTTGTCCAGTCCCCACAGCATACTGCCTGCCCAATGACTCAGTCACATGTGAAATGCTCCAAACATGCGAATCTTTCTTTGTTCAGAGCTGAGGACTGAACCCAGGGCCTTGTGCTTGCTAGGCAAGCGCTCTATCGCTGAGCTAAATCCCCAACCCCCAAACATTCGAATCTTACAGAGGCAGAAGTCACATGGTTGACTGCCTAGAGGTGGGAGCTGAGGGTAGGGGGTCATAAAGTGCAGAGGTTATTTAAGGAGTAATTAAAAAGGATTCTAAAATTGATTACTATGCTAGCTGCAACTAAAAACCCATTGAATTACATACTTTAAGTGGGTCAGTTGTACAGTGTGTAAATTATATGTAGTGCAAATTGTATTTCAATAGAGTTATTCTTAATGGGCCCCAAAATTTACCAGTGAAATCTAAGCTCAAAACTTTAGTTTCTAAATGGCACTCTGGCTATAACTCTATTTTATTCACAAATAACTCCTCAAAAGTTAGGAACACTCTCCCTGACACCCCAGATAACAGCGAGGGCGGGGTAGTTGCTCATTAAAGCCCTAGCCTGCACTTGGTTGAGGCTTAAGACCAGCAAACCCAATTAGAGGGAGGATGATACACTGCTTGCCCAGAGGGTCAGCCCTACATGGAGAGCTCAACCTATTGAGGAGCTCAGGCTAGCACAGACTAAGGAGGGAAATGGACCATTTGCATTGGAAACAAAAGAACAAGGATCCAGAGGAGAGTGAACTTTCCCCTCTCCTCCTGGTCAATGCTTAGTGTTGGAAAGCACTGAAATGTCCAAGTCTGTCCTAAAAGAACTCTGACTTCCTCACGGTGTCTATTTCTGCACCATTCAAACACTGGCAAAGCAATTTTCAAACATCTGTCTGTTCTTCTCACTACAAATGCTTTCTCCCTAGATAGGTGGGAGACATCTTAAGTGGGGATTGAACCTTGGTGCTTTGTAGGGTAACAACTTGAATTAAACTAAAACAACCACTTAGAGTCTGGATTCTTAGAACCTGTTTCAGAAAAGGTCCACCCTTTTTAGTGTTAGGTAAAATTACCATGGAATTATGTGAAGTCTTTTCTAGATTGATATAGTATAGTCAGACTTTCTCTGTCCCTCCAGCCAGCTCCCAAATCACAACACAGAGACTTATTAATTATAAATGTTTGGCCAATAGCTTAGGCTTGTTTCTAGCTAGCTCCTATAACTTAAATTAACCCATCTATGTTCATCTATGTGCTGCCCAGGAACTCATTTACCTCATCTACATACTGTCCATTCTGCTTCCCTGCTTCCTCTGTCTCTGGCTGATGAGTGTTCTCTCTGCCCCCCAAATCCTGCCTAGCTATTGGTCACCTAGCTTTTCGTTAAACCAGTCACAGTGGCATATCTTTACACAGTGTAAGGGAATATTCCACAACAACATGGCAGTCTAATTTTTTTTTCTGAAATGAGATAAGATATTGGTCAAATAAACTACCAATAGGATCCAGTGTAACAGAAAAGATGGGGACCCATCCTCCAACAGACTTGTGTCTTGAAGCCAAGTTTTGATTGAGTCCTGTTTGATTTTTTCTTGCATTTCCTGCAGGCAAAGAACAGAGCATCCTGATTTTGACTCTCATCTCACACTCCATGAATGAAAAGCTTATGCCCAAGACATGAACCTAAAAATACTAGAAGAATATAGTGGGTTGAAGGCTCCATGATGCTGATCTGGATAATGATTTGGAAATATTACCCAAAAGCATGGTTAATAAAAGAAAAAGTAGACAAACATACATCAAACAATTAATGGCCTCTGAACAACCAAGAAAACAAGCAATAAAGACAACCTAAAGAACAGAGAACCTGTAGAATGGAACAATGTGTGTATACATCATATATTTGAAGATGCTGCCAGTAGTAAGTGCCAGGAAGCCTGGGGGGAGAGAGGGCAGAGGCCTTTATGTAGTGTTTCCACATTCTTATTACCATCTGAGAAAGAATTTGGAGACATGCAAAGTGAGACATCTAGAGAGGTTTTATTACAAAATACAAGTACATACTCAGAGTAAGTGCAGACATCCCCAGAGGAAGTCATGCCCACTGGAGGTTTGGAAGACCATCTCTGGTCAGGCTAATAGGAGGAGTAAAGGCAGGGAACTTCTGAAATGGGTCAGGCATTTTCCCAGAATTGACACCTTGCCCTTTTCTCTCCTTATGTGGGGGTTTCAGATGTGTTGTGGGAACATGGTGGGAACAGCCAACTCTGCAAGACTAATGAGCTAGCCTCGGCTAATGAAGGTAAGGACAGTTAGCAGCCAGCCCTTGGCCCAGGTGGTTCTGATAGGCTTGTTTTTCACTGGTTAAGTGGTCACATGACATCCTTATGTCGCACAGCTCTGCCTCTGCGTCCCTGCCCTCCCTTCTTTCTTCAGGCTATCTAGCCTGCTCCATACTATCTCTGGATGTAAGGAGCTAGGAAAATGTAGGATTTACATCTCAGGATGTAAAGAGTTAGCATCCAAATTAGATGAGGAAGTCAGACAATGCAAGAGTAAGAAAAGCAAGAACATGATTAAAATCTGGAATTAAATAGACATCTCTCCAAAAGGTAAACAAATGGCCACAGGAAAACGAACAGCCCTGGGAAACACTAATCAATGGGACAGTGCCCTGTGCTTGTTAGAAGGCTATTATCAAAATGACAGAAGGGAATAGGCTTTGGTAGGGATGAGGGGAAAAAAGAGCCCTACATACTGTTAGAGAGGGTGTGTGTGTCAATTATTTTTCAGGAAAACTATATGGAGGTTCCTCAAGAACTAAAAGATAGAACTACCATATGATCCAGTAACCCCACTACAGGCTACAGATGCAGAGGAAATGAAAACAGCGTGCCAAAGCACTTCTGAATTTTCATTGCAGCGTTATTCATAATTGCCAGGAGATGGGACTAATCCGAGGGCCCGTGAGTTGATGAACAGACTAAGAAAAATGACAGCAAACACAATGGGATCATGTTCAACCTTGGCGAAAACTGGAATCCGTCCCTGTAAATGATTTGGAGGAACCTGGAGAACATTATGTTAAATGAAACAAGCAAGGAGCAGAGATGGATGATGACACATTCTCGACCATACGTGAAGATAAGAAAGTGAAATTCACAGAATCAGAGAGAAATGGTACTTTTCAGAGGCTAGGGGTGATAGGATTGGGAAGCTGTTGATCAGAAGACCCCAAGTCTATTTTGACAAGAGGAGTAATTTCAAAAGAGCTATTATTGATCATCATGGTGGTTACAGCTAATAGCCAAATATTATGAGCTTGAAAGTTGACAAGAGTGTATTTTAAGTGTTCATGTCACACAAAAATGCAAGTATGTGAGACAACATGCATGCTAAGTGCTGATTTGGGCATTCCACAGTGTATCTGTGCACACATCAAAGCATCCTGCTATGTACCATAACTTCAATTTTTGTAATACACCAATGTACATCTGAATCCTGGCTTATTACATCCTGAGATTGTGTTGACATTGGCAAGTTACCTGCTCTTTGTGAGACAGTCACCAAAGCTGCACAATCCAAATAGCAACATTTCATTTCCTACCTTTTAGAGTTATTTGGTAGATCGTGTGAGACAGAACACACCTGGTACAGTGCCTGCTACATAGAAGACAACCATTTGTACCCTCTACCCTTGCTACTCATTGTTTCTCAAGAATTGTTTGAATTCTGTGATGCTTCCCCAAATTCATATGGCCAGTGGCAAAGGTGTAACCTCCTGAACCTGTTTCCCAATGTAAAAGAATTAAGAAAATATATGTGAAATAGTTTGTGAATTACACGCGGTGCTTTATTTACTGTGCCGGCCATGTAACTAATGATATTTGTGCTACAGTGCTCCAAACAGCACTGACCATTGTCACATTCTCATGAAGACAGACTACATTTTTTTCCTAACAAACACATATGTGCTCATGTGCACACGTGTACACACACACACACACACACACACACACACACACACACACACACCAGAAGGTAATTATCACTAGGAAATGAAATGCTGTGTGTTCTCTCTTTGCTTGCTTGCTTGCTTGCTTGCTTGCTTGCTTGCTTGCTTGCTTGCTTGCAGAGACTCTCACTTAGTGCTCCTCCCTGTTGTTGGCAGTAATGAGCAATAGCTAAAAGTCAAACATTTGCAGGAACACAGATACAGAAACATTCCAATCCACAGACACACAGAAAGAAGATTCCAAATCCTAATGGCTTCTCTATGGGCAAAATATGAGATAACAGTACAAATATAGATAAGACCATCAGGGGAAAAAAAGGAAGGAAGGAAGGAAGGAAGGAAGGAAGGAAGGAAGGAAGGAAGGAAGGAAGGAAGGAAGGAAGGAAGGAAGGAAGGAAAAATAAGCATTCTGATCTGGATAACTGGGTTCCTGGAAATATGCATTTCCTCTGGTCAGTAGTGATGTTTTGAGGCTAGAGGAAAAAGTGTCAGATTTGAGAATCATCATCCAAAGCCTTGTTAAATAAAAACCACTGGATGCTACTCCCTCAGAATCCCAGACTCAGTAGGTTCAGGTAGGGTGCTGAGATCTGCCTTTCTAACAAGCTCCCGGGAGACACAGTCTGGAAGCCACGGTCTAGACACCGATGGGGATTTCTGTAATCATTCTCAGCTCCGTGGGGATGGCTAGGAAGACGGCAGTAGGCTACTTCATTTTAAACATGAGCGTTCCTCTGAAGGGGAAGAAACAGGAAGCCAGAGGATCGAAATTGTGATCAAGAAACACCACGGTTTGCCAAAACATCTTTTCTGGAACCCATGGAGACCAGACTCTCTGCCCTCAGTGTCCTGCTGAAGCATCATTCAGAGTGTCCAACAGGTGGCCAGTTGGCCACCAGGAAAGCAGTGTAAGTGCAAAGGGAGTCACCTTGATCCCTGAGACCAGGCCCAGAGCTAGAGCCCTGAAGGGACATGCCCCAACTTCTGATGGAACGCCAAACCGAATCAGCCCTCTCTTTTGTCTGCTGTACTTTGAGCAGTATCTAGCATGGCCTGGCCCCTAAAAAGCAGCCCTGCCATCATAAGGAAGCACATTTATTAAGAATAACCAGTATTTACAAGGGCCAGCTATACGCCAGCTTTTACAAAAATCGTCCATCAACCAGTAAAATGGGACCTGCTGTGATTGTCCCTATTTTTTAGATTGGAATACTTAGGTTGAGGAACCAGCCTTCTGAGATGGGTCCAACCTCTTGACATTGTTCCATGACTTTCTCATCCATAATGTTCATTCTCACGAAACACACAATGAAATTGTATATATATATATATTTTTTTGTAAAAAATCTCATGTTTTAAGTAAGTTCATAATTTGGTGCTGGGTCACATTTGTTACCCTGGGATGCATGGAGTGTGGGTGGGAGACAGCTGTAGGGCCTAAATCGTCAAGCCAGGGACTAGCTGGCTGGGTTTCAAATGAAAGCATGCATACTTTTTATGCTGGGCTGTATGCAGGCAGATCAGGCAGCTGGGAAGAAGGAGCTTTTGTGGCGCTCTCTCATCTCTAAAACTTTAACTGGTCCTGAAGATTCTTTAGAAGTCAAGCTGTTACGAGTGTGAGCCAGGCCACTTATCTGGAAAAAAAAAAAAAAACAAAAAACCATGATTCTCTCTGGTCACCATCTACTCCAAAATGACTAAGAAAGATACAAACCAAAGCATCTCCGTTCCCTCAGCCTTATGCACGGACAAGAATCTTCTTCGTCTGTAGATCAGATGCTGGCTTCAGCCCTAGCTGTCAGGTCCTCCCGCCTCCTGTCAGATGGAAGGATCTCGGCCTTTTTCTTAGTTGGAAGTAAAGAAAGCAAGCTGCTGAAGAAACCACTTCCCTGACAAAGCGTCTAAAGATTCACCCTAACTTTACAGCTCAGTCTACGTCACAGCCTCCAAGTCAAGCACAGGCTAAGCTGTCCCACGCATAAGGAACTGTGTCAGGGATGCTGGGTACTGTGGTTAACACCATGCAGCCAGAGAGCTCCTGGGACCCTTGTGTTCTGAAGCCAAGGCCCACCCTCTTCCTTTCCCCTTATCTGCCTTGCTGGCTCTTTCCTTCTGTACTTTTAGACAAACTCCCTCATACAGAAAACCTGAAGAGGGAGGGGCTGGGAGAGCCAGTCAGAGAATATTTGGAAAGGGATAGCCTCGCAGCCTCGCACTCCCTGGGTTTGAGGGGATCTTGATGGAGTGCTCACCATGCTGTGGTATTAGAATTTAATCCCAGCACTCGGGAGGCAAAGGCAGGCGGATCTCTGTGAGTTCGAGGCCAGCCTGGTCTCCAAAGCGAGTTCCAGGAAAGGCGCAAAGCTACACAGAGAAGCTCTGTCTCGAAAAACCAAAAGAAAAAAAAAAAAGAAGAATTACCACTGTGGTTGGGCGTGGGGTCTCTGGAATCTTTACCTCTGGGAGTAGCTGGCAGGGAACGCATTCCGAGTGCCTGCACCCAGGAAGAGCAGAGTGGTAAGGTCAGTCTAATTAAGGCCAGATTGACTCTCCATGTTTGTCAGACTTGGGTCTGGCCTACCTAGCATCGTGGGAAGAAGTGTTTGGTTTATTTTTTCCCCCTTCATGTTTGAACTGTGTGAGGTTACACTGCCACCATGTGGATCCTCCAATGTGAACTCGGAAAAGAAAACTGTGGTCACTAAAGCAGTCTCAGGTACCCTGGGAGACTTGGGGCAGGGACAGGAAGAGAAACTCAGGTTTTGAAAAGATATCTTGATTTTCTGGGGTGGGGAAACAGACGTCACATTGATCAAAAAGACAAATGACATTCGTGAGCACAACTTGGAGCCAAACACACCAGTTGAAACTTAGCAAATGAGTAGTTCTTTTTCCAGCCTCAGTTCCTTGTCTGTATAATGGGCACACTGGTAGTTCCTTCAGGCTTCTGCTAGAATTGATAGGCAGTGTGCACACAGTGCTCCCGGCCTGCTGTCTGGTGATTCTGGTTGTTGCTATGGAGCTGAGACAGGAGCTTCACAGCCTTACACAAAGCCTCAGTCCCTTGCTGGGACTCTATCCCCATTTTCTCCGTTTCTTCTCCTTGGTTTGAGCCTTAACCATCTCACCTTTCCTGGCCCTTGAAATGTGAGCTTTGGAGAAGTCCAACAGTGCATTTCAAATCTCATCTCCAATGTCATGTAGCTTTGTGGCCTTGGGGCATTTATACCTCCTGAGTCATAGAGCTGTGTGTGGTGTCACAGGCCTGTTATCCCAGCATTTGGGGTTTGGAGGCAAGAGGACAGAGTTCAAGTGTATCCTCCACTAGATAGCCAGTTAGAGGCCAGCATGGACTCATGAGACCCTGTCTCAAGAAAATAAAAATAGATGACAAAATAAACTTCTGAAGCCTGGTTTCCACATCTGGAAAATGGGGCTGGTGACCCCTAGGTCTCCCAGATACAGGAGGAGCTGGAGTTGATAGCGTCACAGCTTCAGGGGCAGTGGCGGTCATGAGTCCATGGCAATCACTGTTATTGTCATGACTCACTACAGGACAGTACAAGTCCTCAGTTCTTACCTCATCCTCCAACCAGTACCAAAACCTTTGAGCTCACCTCAGCATCCAAGACCTATTGAGTGACAGGAAGCAACTCTGTGGTCTGTTCACTTAAACAACTCAGAAAGCTGAGTTTCTGTGATTCTATGATATGTTTATCTTCTCAAGGCTAACAGTGCATCTATTCACAACGTACATCTCAGTGTTTCTAATATTAAAGTGCATTTTATAGTCAAGGCTAATACTCATGTATTTTTAGTTTATTTTACACGTCTTCGTCTTCCAAGACTCAAAAACTAGTGTCCTCTAATCACTGGAAATCTTGGAACTGATGACAGATTTAGAAGTGATGCAGATAAGAACTCAACACTATCAGTCACCACCAACTCTGAAAGTCTAGATTTATAGTGACACCTGGATGTTCCTCCTGACTACTGCCGACTCTCGCAACCACAGTGACCTTAGCTACATGCCTTAAAGTCTCCAGTTCTTGGGGAAGGGATCCTCAGAATGTTTCATACAGCCTAGAGGGGAGAGCATGGGCTGTGAGCCTCCTCCACACCTAACCCCCACTACCGTGGATTAATCATGTCACAGTCTCATAGCTACCTTCCCAGACTCTGACACCAACCTGCTGTACTTTTTCCATTAGGCTCTAAGCAGCCTTCTAACCAGTAGAGAGACCACTGGCACCTCTCACCCTGCCCCTTTTCCGTCTCTCTCCTTAAACATCCTCCTCC